TATGCACCCCCATCTCTGGCCTAGAAGACGATACTGGAGAATGATGAACATTTTCTCCATCTGTCTGATTGGACACATTTTCTTTAAACTCTGGGATCTGTCCTAGTTTATGGCGTTCTCTCTTTTATTTTTCAAATGAAATTAGTTTATAAATACTTCACAGGCTATTGTGTGAATCAAATTAGATAGCAGATGTGGAAGTATTTTGAAAGTTCAAAATGTTAATAAAACGCAAAGCTATTGGACATGCAGTTTCTATAATAACAATCTGTGTGCTAATAGGCACTGCCTTCTCATTACCGAGGTGACTGGTGAGGTGGAAACAGCATTAGACCCAGTGAGGAGTCTCATGTTCAAATTCCATCTCTGACGCCACCTAACTGCTATGACTGCAAGACCCTCGCCCACTCCAGACCTCGGTACTCTCATTAGTAAAGTAAGGAGGTAGGACTGGATGATTTCTAGGTCCTTTTGAGCTCTAAATAACCTTTCTGGTTAACATATTTTCCAACACAATTTTTAATTATTTGAAGAAGAAAAGTGATTAACTTTATATATATGGAAGCTCCCCTAGAAGCCTGCTTTTCAAGCAATTGCAAAATAATCCTTATTTTAAAGGATCTGTGAGCTCTTCAAGAGACTTAATATATGGATAAGTGATGTCTTAAACTTCACCTTTTTAAACTGAACTACTAATATTTCTTCTCCTCAAATATGTTCCACTCATAGTTATCTCATTTTGATGACTGACAACTTCAGTCTTCAAATTGTTGGTCAAACCATCAATATATCTTGTCATTTCCTCACAGAAAACCCATATCTAATCCATCAGCAAATCTGTCTACTCCACCTTCAAAAGACACCCCAAGTCTGCCCACTTCTCACCATCCTGATCAAAGTTGCCGTCATGTCTGCCATTCCTACCTCACTGGTTTCCTTGCCCCTGCCCTTGCCCTCCTACACTTTCTTCTCATCACTGAAGTGACCTCTTTATAATATGTCAGATTTTTCCATTCCTCTTCTCCAAATACCATCAGTAAATGTCTGTCTAACCAAGATGAGAAAATCAAAGCCCTTCCAATGTCCTTCAAGTGCCTGCATGATGTGCCCATCCACATTCCTCTCTGGATTCAGCTCTTTTTTACTTTTCCCCAACTCACTGAACTCCAGCCACATTGGCCTTCTTGCTATTTATCAAATAAGCCAGGCATGCTTCCGCCTGAAGGTCTGTGCACTGGCAATTTCCCCTACCTGGAATGCTTTTCCTTCAATAGCCACACGGTACCAAGTGGTTAAGAAATGGCTGAGCGGCAGGAGAGATGGTCAGTAAGGAAACGAGCCCAGACGGGTTTAGACAATCTGTTACCCATAGCACGGCCGGCAGCGCACACGTGATGCTGACGTCAGTTCCCTTGCTCATCCAAGTCCCAGGAAAGCAATTAGCACAGCATCTGGTTGATGAGTACACACGTGTCTGTGTCACGGATGAGGAACACTCAGTTTA